CATGAAAGGAGATTCATGCATTTCTTTGCGAGAAGTGGTTTGATTTCTTTTTATATAGGATAAAAGACATTTTTTAACATTCATGGCAATCTATTCGGAACGATTTTACGGCTGAAAATTTCATCTTGAAATTTGTAGATAAATGAAGCGACATTAAGATTTTCAGTGGAATACGTTTTTCAACATTACATTATGTTGATATCAAAACTTGAACTGCATATATATTGATGAATATTTACAAAACCATGTGTGTATGTTAACTCTTAGAGTTGAAATCGACCTTTAAATTTATAGTTAAGATATTACAACAGTAAATTTGTAAGCGACATAAAAATTCTTAATTGGTCATGTTTTTGTAGAATGACTGTATTACACTTTGCATTAGTTTACTACCAAGTAAAAATTTAATGCACATTCATGTGAACAGGGCATAAAACTTAAATCCATATTTGTGTGAATAGGACATAAGTCAGCCTGAAAGCTAGGGCTGTGTATTGAGCAAAATATTTCGATATGATACGATATTTTATATAGCGATATGCGATATATTGGATTCTTTATCAAGTCTATCAAAGAAGTCTTGTAAATCATTTATAATTGCATATATTTGATAAAAACTAGGTGTTTTATTACCAAATTGGAAGTTCATGTCTCAACGTCTTTACAAAGTTCACTTCCATGTTAAAATATAGTTGTCTTTGTATTTTTTAATAGTTATTTAAGATGTGCTATCTCCTTAATGTTTATATCATTATTGATCAGTTTTAATTCAAAACAGTTGAAAATAACCTTGCTGACTGAAATTCCCAACTTTTTCACAGAATTATAAGAAAAACTGCCTATCCGATACGTACTGGAAGTTATTTTACGATACATTCCAGAATATCGATACGTATTGATTAATTGATATATTGACACATCCCTACTGAAAGCCGATTCAAACCTAGTGAAATAGTAAAAACTTTCACAAAATTTTGAGACTGCCTGATCAGTGCAACATCATTTGGGCTCATTATGTTTTATACTAACTAAGTTTTCAAAATCCTCAAGAAAACATTTATTGGTTTGGTTTGGTTTCAAGTAAAAATTTTCACATCTCCTGACTTCGTCGCTATCATGGAAAACATCAGTCAAGTGTTTTTATTGCCAGAAAACAAAAGGTCACCTAACTAAATTAAAGAGCAAATAAATTTGGGTCAAGAAAACTGTATTCCATTGAAAAATTTCCTCTCATTTATATAAAGTACATCTAAATTATGCTGGTCTTTAAAACTTATGCCAGTCCAAATATCAGGATATTAAATCCAGTGTTCCAAAATTGACATTTGTTGCAATTCATTACTCAAACAAGGCTCAACCATTAAACAACACAAAATGCTTCCCACAACAGTCTGTTTTCTGCCTTTGAAGGCAAAGAAAAAAAGACAAATTACATGATTTATGCTTCTACTAAAAAGAAATTTATCCCAGGGTCAATATCTGATAGAATGCCAGAAATAACTGAAATCCTGTAATAGGGCGATATAATATCCACAAAATCACAATCATACTTGTAAAAGATTACACAACAACAAACTTTATTTCCTAACATGACAAGACTTAAGGAGGATCAATACAATGCTTATTTCCTCTGACTTTAAACATCACTCATGAAGCATTACACTGAGTGACTAAAGACAATTATGTGGGGAAAGGCACCTTAAGTTCTCAAAAGATTTTAATCTTGAATAATAAAAGCTTAACACAAGTTAGCTGGTTAAGTAGAAATGTATGAAGTTTTTAATTTTCTAGGTCAAACTGATAAGTAAAATCATAGTACAGTGTATTTATTCTTTTTTCATGAAAATTTAAGAAATTTATGTTGTACATGTATTGATATGTTATATTTGTTCCCTATGAACATGATGAAGTATAATCTATCATTAACAATTTTTCCTTTTTAAAATTTATTTATTACATAACTTGAGAATTAGACTTAAAATTAATTAATCCTGGTTTACTAATCAATATACTCTCCACAAGGAGATTCTCTATTTTGTGATGATCATCGTTAAATGTTAACTGAGAGGATGTCAAAATTAACAGAATAAACTGCTATCAACCATTCATATACTGTAAACCAACTTTTATACCCGTGCGAGAAATATTCGCTAGTTTTGCGACCCTCTTTAACTCGCGAATATTAATCGCCACGAACCATTTATTTTGCTTTGTTTTTGTAAAGAATATTTCCTCAGTCACGAAAATTAATTTTCACATATTGATTTCAAACTGAAGAATTGCGAATAAAAGATGACACAAATGATAGTTGGTTTACAGTGTACTGTAGATCACCAAATTTTTGCAAAACCAATTATTTCCATGAGATAGTTCTTTGGTACTTTCTAATGACTAATTAACTAAACTTACAATAAATTTATAAACTATTTCAACAGTTTATTATTGGTTTAATTTTAAATATGATGAAAATTGTAAATGTGAACATTACATGTGTAAGTTCCTGGGAAATCAGAATGTTTCTCATATTAGGAATGTGTGATCAATTGTATATTAATCATCATTCTATGTACATTTCATCAACTTGAAAGCATTTAAAGAAAACGCAACGTATCCAAACTGCACTGCACATTTAATTTCAAGCAAACAATTTTTAAGTAATCACTGTATATACAGAAAGGAAAGGAGAACCAATGTCAGCCCTAATTTACAAGGGATTGATCTAAAAAATAATCTTTTTCTTATAGAAAATACCTCACAGCCAATAAAATAACAACTGGAACCATACTACAATAATTATACTTTAATAAAAAATTTACCTCATTCATTTATTTAGCATTTAAGTTGGGTTATACTAATAATCAGTTGTGTGAGTCAATGTACTTTCTCTTTTGATATTTGCAATTTAAAAAAATCATCCCATTTCTCCGATTTAATTTTTTCCGTACACAGTGAGGCCTGGGCCAAGAACAAACAACATTTTGGGAAACCCCATTTAAGATGGAAGGTAGAAAGTGATTGAGCAAAATTGTTCTAGAACAACATTGTTGGCCAATCACATCCCATCTTAAATCTTGGATACAATATTGAGTTAATTTAGTGCATGACTTAAACTACATCAACTTGTACGACAGGATATCGGGTTTGTGAAACATAACTTAAACACTTCGTAAATGACCTGTTTATAATTAAATTATTAAAAATAAATTATTTCTGAATGAGTCCAGTCATTATTTCACTACCTGCAAGGTATATACAGTGGCGCCTCGTTTATCCGGACGCCTCCGTTCCCCACGAAATCGTCCAGATAAATGAATCATCCGGATAAGTGAATCACTTCTAAAAAAAACCCCTCTCCACGCATGTAAATATTGGTATCAAATGTGAAGGCAAAGTAAAAAAAAAACTTTAATATTTTGGTTTATTGTTTTATTTTATAGTTTTAAAAGAAGTAATTAATAAAAGAAAAAATATATTTAAATGTAATTTATACAATGAAAAATGGATAGGCAATTTTATGCTGAGACTTTCTATTTTAAAACAAGGAATTTTATTTGCTCTTTGGCATGTGACTTCATGGGCTGAGCAATTTTTTATCTACTGTTGTTTTATTTCGCCATATTTTATAATTATTGAAGTTCATATGATATGACAGAGCTGTTAAGCATCATCAATGAAAATAGTCAAATATAAACTAACCCCGTATATATTCTCTGTATATTCATTACACAGGGGTACTATAGTAACTGAACACTGCAAGCTATTTCAAACACGTGCAATCAGTGAAAGTGTTGTACACATTCAACGTAATCACAAGCAATCTTCATGATAATCAATATTTTTTTTTACAGATTCTAAGTTGATTTTCAATCATAAAAAAATACGTTGAAAAACATAATCAATTTCTATACGTAACGCCAGTTTTATATTTCTTTTCTAATTACGTACGTTTATAGATGGTAGTGCATTAAATAGAGACATTTCTTCAATTATGTACCTTTTGAATTCGAAACTGTCTTATGGGAAAAAAGCGTTTCAAAATTAATACATTTACATTTTTAGAAATGGAAAACCGAATTTTAAACTAACGCAATCAACATGATCAAGACCATTACGAAATCGCTCGTTATTTATTGTTTATTTTATTTACAACTCTCCAAAATTCTCATGAATTTACAAATGTATATACGGTTAGCAATATTATTTTCAACGAATTATTATTTAATTAATGCACAGTGTAAGCCAAATTCTTCGAGCTCCATAATAAACGTGATTTAATTGGGGTAAACACACGCTAATTATAGACACTATTGTTTGTAGGTCACAGTTAACCGCCTTCAAACTGACTGCATGGCCAATGTTTTTACAACAATTAACACTACTGCAAGATAAGTGTGAAAAAGTCGTTTTTTGAAAAATTACCGTCCGGATAAACGAGCCATTTTTCAATGAACTATTACATTTTGTAGAAGAAATCGACCGTCCGGATGCGGAATGCGAATTCCGGATTAATGAGACAAAATAACGTGGAAAAAATCGGTTCCCAAAAAATATCGTCCAGAAGGTGAAGCGTCCGGATAAATGGCGTCCAGATAAACGCGGCGCCACTGTACAATTAAAAATATGTTTTTGCAGTTTGACCATATGTAAATTTGGGCTGATATGGTTTTTTTTCCTTTTTGTAGATATAGTAACCATGTAAAATCAAGCAAAGTGTGTTACTGGCCACTGTGGTGTTATATAGCTTGGTCTCTCTCTCTCTGACTTTTTTCTTTCTTTTTAAAATGATGCAGACAATCAGGCATCAAGTATATCTAGCTTACTGATCAAGAGTCAAGGATTTAAACAAACTAACTACAGTAATTATCCTTGATTAAAACATTTACTTTTCTCTGAACATGCTGAAGTTATGCATCATTTTTTTTTTCCAAATCTTACTCCTAGCGTAAATAATCCCCTTCCTCATGTTCTTGACCAATCAAATGCACCATAGAAAATAATACCTTTATGTTGGTGAACCACATGTTGTTTTCATGAATTGTGTACATCAGTTCTGCGTGTCTGTACCCACAGTAAACCATTGTCACCAGGCAGGCTCCAAGATTTAGCCAGGAAGTCCAGGTTTCACCATCTTCCTGTTTCTTTGACATCTTCTCCTTGGTATTAACTGCTGAAGGAGTCATCCCTTTTTTTCCTGCAGATGGGGTAGATCTGGTGCCACCAGGTGGTGCTGTTTTAGAGAAATTTGAGCGAGGTTTCCTGTGTTTCACCTCTGACATGGTTTTCTTAGAGAAGAAAAAAATGCTTTAAAAAATAAAATTAAATTATCTCAACTATTGCAAACCCTGTGGGTTCTTCAGACAGTTATACAGAACAGTAAATAGTCTATGTAACTGAGTCTGAGGTTACTTAATCAAGCAAATAAACAGTTTTCAATAAATATCAGTGTTGCAAGATGAATCCAGTAGTATTTGGGGAAAAAGTCTTTTCTTTTTTTTTTAAACATGTTAAATAGACCTAGATTAATCAATCAGAATGTATTTTCATTCATAACAGTCTTTCAGCTATCAGCTGCTATGTTGTGGAACTCTTTACAAAACCATGCTAGGGAACTTTCCAAACTCAACCAGTTTAGAACATTTATTGACACATGGAGGGGGGAAAATTGCAAGTGTAGTTCCCAGAAACCACAGTGTGGGGGCAGCATAGCTGATGAGACAATATTTATTTATTTATTTATTTATTTTAGAGTCACAGTCTTCTATTTTTGCAGTTATTCATTTATTTTTGAAGTCTTTCATTTGCTTTACTGATACCACTTCCAGTCTATGCGAAAGTCTAAAATTTTTACAGGACATACGGTCTGGTAAAAATATATATTTTACCAGACCAAGCATTTACTTACCAGACCGACCTTTTTCTTTAAATTAATTCATACATCATTATGATTCAGAGATTGAAAAGGGAGGGGGTGTATTCTCACTGTTAAATTGAACCTTAAATAGATCCAGAGTTGAGATTATTAAAAAAAAAATGATTTTATTGAAATGAACAAACTTATTACTGTTTTTTTTTTTTGTTTAAAGGTAGTACATATGACAAATGCATACAATTTTTCTTTTTCTGGTTATTTGACACATACAAACGAAATATACAGTGTCAAAGATTTTTTTCTAAAACTTAAGAAAATGCACTTTAAAATATATTTATTTATTTCCTGAAGTAACTCATAATAGTTACTCTTGTTTAGTAATGAAAATAATCTACCCAACCGAATCTACGTATGAGCTATCTATAGATCTATATTCCATGACAGAGGAAATTCGAATTAGAAATAAACGATCATGACAGGGTTCCTCCAGAGTTGATATAGATTAAAATTAATCATGCATTACGGCTAAATGGATCGAATAAAGGATATGTGTGGAAAATAAGACCATATGAACATGTAAATTCAGATTTTTAGGCCTTATTTTTTCATCGGACATTTGGTCCTGTATCCTGAATTTTTTTACCGATCCGAACCAAATTTTACCGGTAAAAACCGACGGTCCGGTGACTTTCGCATAGACTGCACTTCATTTTATTCTATTTAGTTTTTCTAAGTTTCTTTTATATCTATATATTGAACTTTGTTATTTACTTAAATTTCCAATAATAAGGACCCTGGTGACTGAAACTTTTGGAGTAACATCCTATGATAGCAAAGGTGTAAGCTCTCCAGGATCATAGTTTCTTTAATTTTTTGCTTTTGATGTCTGCTTTTTCCTAATCTCACAACAATACATATCCTGTCTATGTAGATAGGGACTGACCCAATCACTAGACAGGATGTGTTTTGGGGAGAAACTTCAATTGTTTTTTTGTTTTTTATTTTGGTTAAACTGTATCTGCTTGAATTTTTAAGTTTCTAAGCTACCAATTTTATTTTTCTATTATCAATTAGTGCTTTTTAATCTGATTCTATGTGTTTAATGTAGTACTTGATCTAATTTGCTAGTCGGTTTAAGAGCTCTACAGAGCTCATGTTCATTGTTTAACTATGTAAAAAATGCCGACTTTAAATAAAAATTTACTTACTTACTTATCCCAGTGTTTTCTGTGCATTTCATTAAAACTGCAGAGAAATAATGTGCAATGCAACCAAAACTCAGATTAATGCATATATAGTGGATCGCTTTACCTGTTGACACCTGCCAGTCCTTGTTAACTTAAGAGAGGTGACCCTTTGGAGAAATCCTTTTCAAGTTTTGAGTTTCCAACCAGACGGATTCCACTCGGAATACAACACGTGGAAAAGTCAAGAGCATTCCGAACGACAATTCATTTTAAGGAATAAAATTTATACAAAACGAACACGTACTTCGATCCCGATGGTTAGTCTTTTTTAAATAAAAGAGTTACTTCGCTTTGTTTAATTGTACAATGAACTTCAAAAAAGATGGAATCCAGTATTTACCTCTGTTTGCCTCCGTCACTTTTTTTTTTATCATTAAATATGGAAATAATGAAAAAAACTAAGCATTCGATTTCATGATAGATTGTATTTGCTGACAAGGTCATTATTTCGACCATAGAACTTGCGAACTGGTTACTTCAAACGAAACTGTTAATATCCTTGTTTCATCAACTTATTTGTCAATAGCTTGCCTCGTGTTAGAAATTTTTCGTACATTAGAGCATGCTCTTGCGTATCGAATCAACTGAGAGATATACGCCCCATATGCAGGTGATAGGGTATATTGCTGCACAAGTAAGGGAAGTTGACGATAGAAAAAGTTGAAGTCATCACGTTTATCGTAAAGTTTTGTAGTTAGGTTACCATTAACATCTTTTTCTAGTAAAATATCCAAATATGAAACAGATGTGTCAGACTCTGTGGTATCTTTTATTTCAATTTCACTAGGATATCGAGTTGACATATGGACCTGGACCTCTATTAGCTTACATATGGACTTTCTGTATATAGTTAAAACATATGTTTTAATTTGTTTGTAACTTTTTAATTAAAAAAAAAACATGTTGGTATGTGCTTAAACAATCTGCCCACTACACAAGGGGGCGTTCATTGGCATTTTTCTTCAGTATTAATAAATTTGTGACGTCATGCTCTTAAAATAGCTATGCACTATGAAAAGAAGTGTAAATAAACCAAATTACCTTCTATTTCAATACACATTTCTAGGCATAATTGATGCTTGAAATACACCTTAATGCATATCATTGTAAACTTTAGAATTAAACTTTCATTCATACCCAGAATGTATCACAAACATGTCAATTGTTTTTACTGTTGTCAATAAAAGTAAGGTATGTGAATTTCCTACGCGCAATACATTTCAGCCTGTTGACATTCACTTTTTAATTGTGGACCGGATCTATATGAATGGAAGTAACTATTATTAATTGATAATACGTCTTCGATATTTTAAATGCTGAAGACCACAGCAGGTGTCTTCTTATTCTCATGTATAAGTTTTTGAATAATTCTGCTTCATTTTAATATACAAAAATGTAGGTCTGCTAATAATGTAGAGCAATTGGTACCCATGGGAATTCCGACAGATTGATAGAAGACCTGATCTCCAAAAACTACATTGATATTGTGGAACAAAGGTCTGGACTGTGGGGCAATGATGAGGACTGTGGAGATGTGGGATAATGATGTGGACCGTGGGATAATGGTCTCGACTGTGGGACAATGATGTGGACTTTGGGACAATGATATGGACTAAGAGACAATAGTCTGGAATGTGGTGCAATGATGTGGACTGTGGGACAATGATGTGGATTATGGGACAATGCTCTAGACTGTGGAGCGATGGTTTGGACTGTAGTGTGTGGCAATGATGTGGAGATTGGGACTATGATGTTGAGATTGGGACAACGATGTGGACTGAGAGACAATGATGTGGACTGTGGGACAATGATGTGGACTGTGGGACAATGATATGGACTGTGGGACAATGATGTGGACTGTGGGACAATGGTCTGGACTGTGGGACAATGATGTGGACTGTTGGATAATGACTCTGGAACAATGATGTGGACTGTGGGACAAGGATGTAGACTATGGGATAATGGTCTGGACTGTAGGACGATGGTCAGGACTGAGAAACAATGGTCTAGACTGTGTGGCAATGATGTGGAGATTGGAACAATGATGTTGAGATTAAGACAATGATGTGGACTGTGGGACAATGATGTTTATTTTAAAAAGTAGGTCAAAGATCAATTTCATATGTAGCCAGGTCCCAAATTTGGTATTTTACAAGAGCCATTGTACCAAGCAGTACACGAACAAAAATCAAATCCCTACCTCTTACAGTTCTCAATAAATAAGGTGTGACAGATAAAGTTAGACACACAGACGGGGGAAAAGTGATACATAAGTGCCGCTCTGCTCTGCAGGCGATACAAAAGAGGTATGTACATGTAGATTAATTTGACCGATTACGAATACATGTTTGTTTCCAGGTAATTAAGAGCTCAAGATTTTTTCATGTGTATTCATAGCCTTCGTTTCATCCCATCTATATCTCATGGGGTCATGATTTGAACATTCTTGAATTTACAATTAACGGGAAAATATATAAAGTTTTTGTCTTTTTTGCCGGGGAAGACTTTTAAAGTACTCAACTAATAAGCGCTGTTTTAACATTAGTCATATTTTCATGTCCAAAAAAATTACTTCTGGATATCAAAAAATAATACTTGATATCAAAAATTTAACTCTTGATATTAATTTCCGATTTAAAGAATTCTTTTGATTTTCTGATATTAAAAAATGATTTTTGATATCAACAAATCAGATGTCTGTATCAGAAATTACTGAAGATTTTCTTTTATCAAAAAATCGAAGGTTTCTTGGTATAAACGTTATCTAACGATATAAGATAATCGATTTTTAATTTACGAATAATATACACTAAATGATAGATATTAAAACTTTTATGGATTAATATATATATGTATAGATTAATTTGAGGAGGTAAATGAATTTAATATGCACAATTTCATATACTCATTTACATTTGCAACCTCGAACTTTTTTTTTTTGAAGAGTAACAGCTGAAATTGATATTAAATCTGGACATTTTCAATGAAAGGCCGGTTGCCCCTCCTCACACGTTTTGTTGCCGTACTGTCAAACTTTTTTACGTATTCAAAATTTTTGTTGTTGAAAAGAGAAATTAGAACCTACCCCCCCCCAACCCACCACCACCACCACCCTCAACCACCACTACCCCCATGAAATATAAGTTTGTTGAGTTTTGCTTTTTTATTCCTTGATTAAGTTTTTGTCAGGTATATTGTCAATTATTTTTTTTCTGATTGGCCCCTCCATTTTGACAAAGAAGATGATACGTGCCTGCAATGCTGATAAGTAACTAAAGTCTTCGATGCCAGAGTAAGTCTTGAAGCCTTTTTTTTACTTTCAAGGGGAGAGATTCGTAACCCCTTGAGGAAATGTAGATTTCATCCATTTATTGTAGAATCTATACATTTCATATTTCTTCTATTCAGCAAGGTTTCCTTTTGAATAACTTATTAGCATATGCATTCCTTAAAAATATACATCCATCTCTTAATTGTACAAAATTTAAAAATAAACAACGAAATTGCATTGGTAAACACGTTTACTTGTGAAGTATGGGACGAAGAAATAATTTTTTAGTAACCTTAACAACAATATTTGTTAGATTTCTTATATCAAAATCCTGACCCTTTTTCTTAAAAAAAAAACAGCTGATATCACAAAAAAATTCTTTGATATCAGAAATTTGAATTAATTTATCACAAAATCTTGTTTATTTTCTGATATAAAAAAAATCTTTTTTCTGATAAAAGAATAATTATTTTTTAACTCAAATATAAGATATCAGATTATATCAGATTGTCTGATTTATATATATCCCCTTGAAAAACATTTTTAGCTCTACTGGTCAGAGACCAGAAGAGCATATGCGATAGTAAGGTGTTCGTCGTCCGTTCGTCCCTCTGTCTGTCCCTCTGTCTGTCCTTCCGTCTGTAAACAATTTTTTCAAAACGCTACTCCTCCTACAGTTTTAGTCTGATTTCAATATAACTTGGCACATAAGTAGACTACACTAAGATACATAATTCTGTGTATCGATTTTCTGATTTCAATGAACTTTGTTGCTATGGTTACTAAAATATAAATTTATGTGAAATTCTCTCAAAACCCTACTCCTCCTACGGTTTTGGTCTGATTTCAGTATAACTTGGCACACAAGTAATTGACACTATGATACATAATTCTTTTTATCGGTTTTTGATTTAAATGAACGGTGTTGCCATGGTTACTAAAAATAGAAATTTAATGAAATACTTTCAAAATGTTACGCCTCCTACAGTTTTGATCTGATAACTTGGCATACAAGTAGACTACACTAAGATACATATTTGTCTATTTTTTGATTTTGTTGAATGATGTTGCCATGGTTACTAAAATCGAAATTTCTGTAAAATTCTTTTAAAAGGCTACTCCTCCTACAGTTTTGATGATTGCAATAAATCTTGCCACAAAAAGAGACTAAACCAAGGATCATTAATCTTTTTATTGCTGTTGCAAAGTTTCAAGTCCAAGTGCTACTTTTATCTTCCTTTGTTATAAGTACAAACCAGTAGAGCTAGTCTCATCAGAGACTTTTGGTTACTAATTAATTGGAATTAATCCTTTAGTGTACCTAATGATGCGTTTTTTCAAGTATAGTTGAAATTGATCCAGTGGGTGAGAAGAAATTGCTAAAAATGGATTAAAGACAGACATTCCAAGTGGATGGAAGCAGTCCTTTGGCTCGAGAGGAATTATACTGCGATTGAAAAAAATATGTATACATACATTACGTATTAGTAATTTTCAACTTAGAAAAAAAAAAACAAAACAAAAGCATGAAATTCAGTTTGTGTCGGTCCTATCGCATCGATTATCAGAATTAGTAGATCAAAATAAGTTTGTGTGGGAAGAAGCGGGGACCAACTTTTTAATTAAACAAGAGGCCCAAGGGCCTTAACAGTCACCTGAGTATATGCAACAATTTCGAGGATCCATAGAGTATGAAATAAACTGAAAGGTGAAGCTTTGTTACCCAAAAGAAAGACAAACAGCTAGGATGATCAGGATCAACGAAATAATTAGTCTAGTATTTCTTAAAGTTACATAATGAGTCAAAATCATGTGTTTCTTTTAAGATTATTGTATCATAAAACAAAAAAATTATGTGAAATATGAATATAGCGAAGTTTTGACAACTCAACT